CATTTGCAATCTATTCCAAGATAACACAATGTCCACGAAATGGTGAAGAATTAGTTTGAAATAAATATATACAATGAGTTTTCAAATGATTCTCTAGAAAATCAGGGAATTTTTTTTGTTGTTGTTTATATTTTTTATGCTAAACTATCCAACTAATCAAAAAAGAGTTAAGAATTAGTTTGAGATTGGACTTCAATGTACTTTGAAATAAGTCTGTAGATGATTAGGAAATTCTTTTTTGTTTTTGTATAATGAAAGCCAAAAATATCAAAAAAATTAGATTAAAAACTATGACCTATTTTTTGTACATTTTCACCCTTTTGCGAAAAATTAAACTTAGTACTCGTAGACATTAGCAGAGTAACGTCTGGTATTACTGAAACAAACAAAAAACCATTTAAACTGTTAATTTCGAATAATCTTTGTGGAAATAGAATTTTATTAAAAATGTTTTTAATTTCTTGAAATATTAAATTTTTTTTGTTGATACTGTTCTTCTGCTCTATTGTGAATCCTATCCGAAACACTTTAAAGTGACTTTATATGCACATTCCCTTTGTTACCTGGAACTGCATTGTTCCGTTTATCTCCAATTACAGCAATTAAGATACATACTCGTGCTAAATTTATCTTTTGTTTGTGCCAAAAATTGCAAAAGTTTACCTTTTGAATTTGTTTAGATTGCGTTTCGAAACTTTATTTGCTGTGTGTGTTGGCATTGTTATATTAAATGAAAAGTTTAATTCAAAATACAATACTATCTTCTTCTTATTTAAGATAGAATACGTAGTCACTTCGCCATGGAAACGGGGAATACAGAAAATACCACGAAAAACTTTTATAATTTGTAACAAATTTTGATTTTCCGTTTCCATTGTTGGTGGAATTTTCCTTTGCCATTTGAAATGGCGGTCAGTCACCATTTATATAACAAACTGATCCAATTATATATGAATATATATTTCGGTTATATTTACTAAACAATAGGTATAACCAAATTTTTTTGTTATTTGTGAAAATAACAAGGGGAAAACTGCAAAGTGCCTAAAAATAATGAATTTTTTGTATTTCTTTAACAATGCCTGGAAATTTAATTTGTTCCATCCAAAATTTTATTACAAAATTGTTTAAATTAATTTTATAAAAATATTAAAATTAACATAAAAAAACAATTTTCCGAATTTTATCATTTTACATTGAAATTGAAGTTCACATTCAGTCTCAGTCGCAGTTCAGATATTGTATGAGTTGACTACTTTGGGTTAAGACACCAATAAATACATCCTAAGTAACACAAAGTTTTAAGTGAATTGGTATTTTAATTTAATTTAATAATTTTAATAAAAAATATTATTATATTAATAATATTTTACTTTAAAGTAGAGTTAAATCAGGTTAATTTAACTACAACTTAGGTATCAACAATAATTGCTAACAAGGTAGTGCATTCCATAGAAGGATAAAAATTATAAAAATAATAATGTGAAGTTTGTAACAGATTATTTACTGAATTAAGCATAAATAAGTTTTTGAGATAAATATGCCTATTTACGATCAATTGCATAAAAAAAATAATAGTTGAAAGAAAAATATTATATATAATTGCAAACATTATCATTATCATTTGGCACTATAGCTTACAGATTGCTTTGGCTTGCACAATAATTTGACCTCACCCATATCTTTCACATCAGTACCTCATCATTTCTACTACTCATTTTTCTTTAAATCTGCCTCGATGTTTTCACACCATATATTCCTGATCGCCTTTTCTTCTGGGTTCAATGCATATGTTTACATAAATTTAGATTGCGGTAATAAGCAGTTTATGTAGACTGCATATCCATTCCAAGTCAGTCTTCTAAATTAGAAAAATGAATAACTTTTAATTTGGCTTTCAGATAGTCAATATTGTCATTTTAGCTCTACAATCTTTTTTTATTGAAGTATCAGACTAAAAATGTGTCGCAAGAGCTGTATTTCAAATTGTAATATAATTAAATTAAAATCACTTTCAGATGTAAAACTTTTCGGACCCAGATCCGAGAACCAGATTTCCATAGGCCCCAGATTTCTTTCCAGTCCTTTACTTTTAACCGCACAGATTAATGTATTGTTTTGTTCTTCGGTCTTTTGAAAAAAAAGTTGTAATTGATCTACCTATCGAGTAAGTAATCATCCTCGTATATTACTACTTGTGTTAAATTTAATCGCCATTACAGGCATTTTCACATATTTGAATTATCTCTCTGTGATAATATAAGACTGAGTTCATTTGGTTTCAAAAAAAAGTATGAAGCTAGATATATGTGTTATATAAATATATACATATATAGATATGTATAGATATATTAATTTATAGATATTTATGCATATATTTGTACCATATATTAACAATTTATTAAGAAAATAGTGACGAATGTAAGGTTAGGTTAGATTCGGAAGGCGCGTGCTGCCAATTGTCAGCACTTCCACTCAGAGACATATATTGCCCATTGTGATGCCCTCAAAAAATATTGCCGGGAGAAGCGAGTTGCTAACATTTATAAACCATTTGTTAAACCATTTGGTTTTTCAGATGAAGTTGAGGAGATCCGATAAGTTTACTTTCGTTATCTCATCCAAGCCAGTGAAAAAGCGATCTCCGACGAATGTTAGGTAGACATTATTGTAATTGACATTGTTCTTCCCAAGTCAGCTGCGAAAACAAGGCCACATCTCCACCCTAAGTTAACCTACTATTGTTCTTACATTTTGTTCTTCAAGCACAGAGTGTTTAAGAAATTGATATCAATTTGCGAAAAAATCACAGTTTAAAAACCTTGACCAGCAATAACTCCAAAAGTTTCCTGATCCACATTATTCGGAATTATAGTTCTATATTTTCATTTTATATACGCTTTCATGGAATAATATATATATTGACTAATCGAACCTTGTTGATTTACTGTTAGTTTAATTCCTTCAGTTCATGTGGGCTTTCATGGAATAATATTTAAGTTTAATAAATGGTGTTTTATGGATGTACTGTTAGTTATATTTCTGGAGCTCATGTGAGCGTTCATGAAGTAATAATTACAACATTTATTTATATGTTCATTATGTTTGCTTTTGAAGTTAAGTTTTAAGTCACACATAAATGAGATCTCATGGTGGTGGACTACTTATAATCCATCACTCAACATCGTTACCTTAGGAACTATGGATTGGGATATCGATTTCACTAAGTCTAAGACTTGGAGAGCATTTCTTATGTTCTCGATCTCCTAATTACACTGTTAAAAATAGCAAGTTAAGGATTTCACAGTACAAGCCTGAATTTCAGAAGTGAGGTCTGTTAGCAGCTTCAATCATCCAAGAATACTGCACTTGAGTGTCTATAGTTTGTGCGGCATTTCTACCATTAGTTACTAATAATTGTGGGGTTCGTCTTATATACGCAAAAAGGTCATCTATTGACCTATTTTCTAGTTTTGCAATACAGACATTAGGTGTTTTAAATGCTGCAATTTGAGGTATCTGCGGGTATAACAATAAACAAAAATAATCAAGTGTGATAATTTCTAGTACAGAAGTTATTTTTCATTGTGCAGAACTTAAACTAAGTGCAATTTTACTACAAGTTGGGAATAATTTCTAGTCCTTTTTGTGTTAAAAATCGCACCTTTAATCCTTATCGATTTAAGTTTAGCTTGTTGTTCCCATTCTGTTGCCACTTCACAGCTGTTAGCTCAAACTTTTCTCATTTCAGTATTAGACAAATAAATACTAATAAACTAAGTGCAAACTAAGATGAAGTGAACTTAGAAATGAATATCAAACTACTTCTCTACAAGGCCTTTTCATTGCCGCCATTTCACTACTTTTTCTATTTTCCAAGGAATTTTTAAGTGCGTGAATTGCAAGCATAAAAACGATTGTGAAAAAATCCTCAACTTTGCAACTCTTTTAAAGTTAAATTTTAATAACCGTAAAGTTTTATGAGTTCGTATCCTTGAACACACAATATAACACAACTAGGAAACAAGTAGAATGAATTTCACTCAGTATTTGTTACGTGGAGACTTACTTGAAGATTTGAAAACTTTGTAAAGAGTTTTATTTCCTATTGATTGCATAATAAAGTCACAAAAATGAGAAACACCGGAAATGTAGAAGAAATTAAATTTTCGCAGTACAAGAAAAAGTTTCATTCCCAAAAAAAAGAGAAATACAAGATACTTTTTTTTTACTTAATTATCAACAGATTTTTAACAATGGTAACATCTTTGTTTAACAGTTTAACAGTTTAACAGACATTTAAAATAATTTTAAGCAAATTTTTATATTCTTTGCACCAAATACCCATCTTTGAGGTAAGGAGTGGTCTCTTTAAGGATTACTTAGATCAAAATACGCATGAATATCTTTTTAAACTGCAAGTATCAAAGTGTATTGTGTTTTCAAAACTTGTGTCTTCAAATATCAACTTGTATAAGGTGTTCTTTTAGCTGAATGAGAACTTACGATTATTATAATCTGGTAGATAATTTTATGACATTTATATTTTGAAAAAAATTTCTGGCATATGTACGCAGCGTTTATGAGTTACATAGTCCATTCGATCAGTCCAATTCTTATCTATTTTTTACAATAAAAGTGGCCGTATTACAATAATGGCATCAGGAACATTGACTTCTAATGCTTCGAGTATTTCTGGTTTGTTGGTATAAATCAAATGACTTAACATAGCCCCATGAAAAATAATTCAGAGGCGTCAAATCACAAGAACGAGGCCACACTCGGTCATTTAAATAGATCAATTCTGAAAACAAAATTGCTATCAAATACATTTGATAATAAATAGATTAATAAACTGTAAGACAAGTTGCGTCATCTTAATAGAATTAAATGTCAAATGTCGTCGATGTTTAACTGATTAATTATACTCAGTCGACATGGCTCAATAGCGCTCGATATTCACCATAACGGCAGCTCATTCTCATTTCGAAAGAAATGAGGACCGAACCGATGATGCCGCCAGCAAGTGAACCGCACCACACAGTCATTCTTAATGGATGAATTGAAATTCGCTAAATGCTGGAGGCTTATCTTTGATGCATATATGACAATTTTGCTTATTGACGTAGCCATCTAGGTCGATTAACATATGTTGACTGTAAAATATACAAAGCGCTCTTTGAACTTCGCGAACAGATTTTTTTTTTCAAAATAAATTTCCACAATTTGGAAACGTTGTTTTAGCATTAAATCATTCATGATGAATTGGCAAACTTCATCGTGTAGAACTATCAACACAGTTTGACATTCTCATAGTTATCGATATCGATAGTTCTGATGCAGCTCAAAAAAAACACACTACAGTCAAAATTAAAATTTAGTCTACTAAAATATACTCTTAAGCTCAAGTAGATTTGAAAAAATTATTTTAAAGTTATTCTATATAAAGAAAACAAAACTTAACATTCAGTTACATCCACTCTTCTGTATTCTGTGGATCTCATAAATGCTTTAAAATATGTCCCATATCCTTAAATATGATTTACTGCAATATTTACGAACTTCCTTTCATATATCATTTATACCCCATCTACGTGGTTTACTTTCCTTCATTTCCATTCCCCATAAAAAGGACATTTAAAATAGGTTTTTGTTACAAATATTTTATTTAAACAAATATTTAATTTTTGTAGTCCACAACTCGCACTATAAAATAGAGCAATCAAAACGCATTTATTAAAGAATAAAATTTGAATGTAAATGTGGCGTAATAATAATTTCAGATTAATATTTAAATAAGCACTTTTTAATCGCCAACGATCTGCATTTCAAATCCCATCCATTGCGGGTGCTTCACTCGGAGTGCGCACCTTATGTGGCAAATACCAATTTAATCTATGCAAATTACGCGTCGCATGCAAATGCAATTTTTCAATATAAATGCGCATACAAAAATTGTAGCAGCAACGAATGAAAATTTATATTATATACAAAAAAAAAAAAAAATAAATAAAAAAAAAATAAAAAAATAAATTATAATATAATAAGAATAATAGAAAGTGGCAAGTGCATTGGTACCACGTACCCTGCCACGGGAATGAATTCAAATAAAGCAAAATAGCACGCAAGTAACCTTTGTACATTCGTTCATATCTACTCATAAATAAATCTGGTAACATGGTTTGACTCACACACACCTACCTATAAGCCCTCTTCCCTTTAAGGACATTTTGTTAAAACAATTTTAAAATTATGTTCATGTGCACCTTTATGAACGTTGTTAAATGTAATCAATGTGTAAAAGGATAATTGCCATAAAAATGCCAATAGTCACAAATTGAATCCAACAGACACACGGAAGAGGCTACTTAGTAGACATACATGTGAGGAAAAATATTATTAAAAGTGGCAGTATTGGATCGGAAATTTAATTGAGGTATAATAAATTCTTGATATAATGCAAAGAAGGATATTGAGCGTTTATTGAAGTGGTATGAACTTTGACATATACTAATATCTATGCAGTCAATGCATTCCTTTTCCTTTTAGTAGTAGTATTGACTTGTTATTAGCTTAATGAAATACACAGCAAAAAATGAAGTACGCATTTATTTTTTAAAAATCATACTCCTCAGTATATGTTAAATAGTATATACTTTAAGACTTGACACACAAAATATATGTTATTGTCAATTTAGATTTTTAGGCTTATGTAAACATATATATGTACATATATACATAACATATACAGTAAT